AAGAGTCCCCAATTAGAAAAGACGATGGTTCTTAGATAGTGATCAATGCATCTTTAAGAATGAATCATGTGCCAGTTCAGTGGAAGATTGCAAGTTTCATCATTGTACCCAAAACTGGAAAGCCTGCCAATGAAATGGAATTTGATTCCTGATCACCAGTTCGGATTTATCAGCTCATATTCATTGATCAGGCTGACGAACGTCATTAAAAACGGACTAGAAAACAAGGAGTATTGTTCTGCCGTCTTTTTAGATGTAACCGAGGCGTTCAACAGAGTTTGGCAGAGCAGTCTCAATTTTAAAATAAAAGAAAAATTTTCCGGAGCCGTTTCCAAGAATATTAAAATCATACCTTTCGAACAAGCTGTTTAGAGTTAAATTTGAGGAGGAATACTCCTTCAGAGAAGTGTCCTAGGACCTATTCTCTACCGTCTTTATACTGGAGGCATCCTACTTAATATTATAGAAGGACATGGAGGGTCCTACTTAATATTATAAAAGTTCACGCCAGCGAAGCGAAGTGCATTGGTATGACTCTCGATACAAAACTTAAACGGAAGGAGCACGTAAAAAAGAAAAGGACAGCACTACAACGAGATCTAAATATCCGTACAGTCAAAGAAGAAATAAAAAAACTCGCCATAAATCATCAATTGAGATTGCTCCAACATGACAACCCCGAGATGCTGCAATATAAGATGTTCGTTAAGTGCAAAGACGCCTTAAACGTATTCGACCATTTGAACTCGTCGGCTAGACTAAAATAATATTAGTAGCAGGAAACTCATCTGTGGATAAAGAACCCATAACATCCATATGAAGCCAGAGAAAAATTGCTAGATGGGAATTACTTTCTTAGTTTCAATATACGCTTCATAATAAAAAAAAAATAACGTAACACATTTTTAGATATTCCGCGTAAGTTAGATGAGAGATCAGAAATATATTGACAATGAGAATAAATAGAATATGGCCTAGATGATTTCTTCGCATCCTAAACCCCGGAGTGAACGCGAATAGGTTTATATTTGATGTTATGGAATTTATTAAATTGGGTTCTTCCCGCGAATTTACATAAACTTCCGCATTAGCATCTTGAAAAGTTTATAGATACAAGTTTCTTTGTAATATTTTTATTATGTTCGGTTTTTATAATAGGAGTCCTGTTAACTTTGACATTGTTTATAACAATGATTAATGACACATTGTTTATAACAATTATAAAATTACAAAAGCACTATAATAATTATAAAACTTAAAAAAACCCGAACCGAAATAGTTTAAAACGATGTACAAATAAAAAAATATTAAAATTTAGGTATATAAATGGCCTAATAGTGATTACTCAGCCATGCACACATTTAGAACCCCGATTGTCTGAACTACATAGATAATTTTGTCTCCAAAAGCTAATTTTAAATATTTGGAAAAATAATAAAGTCAAATTCATGAAACTTGGCAGTTGTGTGTCCAATTATAGATCAAATATATTTGCGAAGTTTTAGTGGAATTACTTGGCAGGTTCGGGTACCTGCCATACAACTCCAAAAGCTAATTTTAAATATTTGGAAAAATAATAAAGACAGATTCATGCAACTTGGCAGTTGTGTGTCCAATTATAGGTCAAAGATATTTCTGAAGTTTTGGTGGAATTGCTTGACAGGTTCGAGTGGCTCCCATACAAGTCCAAAAGCTTATTTTAAATATTTGGAAAAATAATAAAAGTCAGATTCATGAAACTTAGTAGTTGTGTGTTCAGTTATAGGTCAGACATATCCGTAAAGTTTCTATAGAATGGTTTCACAGGTTTGAGTAATTGTTATACAACAATGAAAGGTGCCGGGTATAATTCAATCGGTTCATACCGACTGAAACGTTTTTACTTGTTTTATTTTGAAATAGTCTAATTACCCAAGTTTATTCTTTTGTTTTTGTTTTCAATAGTATTTATTATTTTGAGACGAAATTATAAGAGAGATTTTAATGTTTTATTCAATTGGCGTGATGCCATTGCAAAAATTTTTAATAAAATTCAAAAGAAAGAAGATCAGAAAGTCAATCAGTAAAGTATAATCCGTTATTTTATGAACCGTTTATGAGACATTTTATGCATATCGTGAAGCGATTGTAATTTTTTATTTAGTTGAAGGTTTTCATTTGTGTACAAACCTGAGTAAAGGTTTTTTTTTTTATTCTGTTGAGTTCTTTTTAGTGAAGGTTTATATTTGTTTATGAGAAAGGTTTTTTTAAGTTTTTGTTTACTTTTTCAGTTAAAATTTTCAATTTAAAAAAGGTTTTAGTTTTTTATTACTATAATATACGTAATATTATATACATATGTACGAAACAAAATAATTTAATTATTTTTTAAAAATTAATATTTAAAAATTTTGTTATTTCCTATTTTTTTTTCTTTTTTTGAAAGTAAAAACATTTTCAAACAATATATTTAATTTTTTATTTCTTAAAAAAAATAAATATTTTTGAGATTACTGAGATGCCATATTCAACGCTTATTATTTAATTAATTTTAATACAGCTTAAAACTTAGTTTTTCAATACAGCTGACAGCTTAAATATTCAATATTCATTATTTTTAAAATATAGATACCTATTTTTTAATAAACTTACAGCTTTCATCAGCTTGTGAAATTCTTAGTTTATAAAATTAGATCTCATTTACATTTTTTAAGTACGTCTCATAAAGAGAAATATTATATTGTAAAAATATTGATTTTGTCCACTAAAATATACTCTAAAAAAAAAAAACAGCTTTACGTTCACTAGATCAAATAACGAAAAAGGAGAAATCGACTTATACTTTTTAATACTAAAAAATATTTCTTATACATTTCAACTTCTACAGCGAAATTTATAAGCGAATTAAAACGATGCTGCAAAACAGAACTCCTTTTATTTTCTTCTTTCTTACACTAATGAGAGAACGCTTTATCGCTTTAAAATAATTTAAAAGATCATGTTAGTAAAGAAAACAAAAAAATCGCTGCAAAAATTTCGCAGATTATTTCTTTTTTTTTTTTTCGTTTATATTTTGTTTGTGTAAGTCTATATGACAAAATACGTTTACTTGAAATGAGGAGCTGTATCATATGATGTGTTTTCTGTTTTTTATTTTGTCGGTGAAATCCATATTTTTACGATAAAGTATTTCTCTTTGTGAGACGTTTTAAAAAACTATGAATGAGATCTCATTTGACGAAAAATTTCAAACACTGTTAAAAATGATAATACAGTAAATAAAAAAAAATTTGGTTATATATTTTTTGTTTAGTATACACGGCTTAAAATAAAGTTAATAAAAATTTTATTAGATTTTGATTTAAGTTTGTAATTATTTAATTATAAGTTTTATAATTATGAAAGTGCTTTTGAAAATTTTATAATCATTATAAAAGATGCGTCATTTCAAGTTGTCCCCTATATAAAACCAAACATAATAAGGAAAATTATAAAGAAACTTCTATAAGTTCTAAAGTCTCTGATGCGGTAGTTTAAGTAAATTAGCGAGTTAGCCTTACTGACAATGTGACAATAATTCTTAATAAAACTATAATCACATATGTACATACCTAAAAGAATTATATGGACTTTTGATATAAAAAGGATTATGAAGCATATAAACTTAATATAGTATACACATGAAAAATATATAGATATACATATATGTATATGGGATTATATCACAAGTATGCATTTTGGGAGATATATCATACAAAATTAGCAAACCCGTTAATATCAAGTGTACATTTTCTCAAATTTGAAAAAATACACCAAAATCAATTAAATACTTCGGAAAAAAAATTCCACTATTTTTTTTTCCTGTAGTTTAGCATTTATTGAAATTTTAAAAAAATGAATGGAACCTGGAAGTTTTTTTTTAAATCGATTTTTTTATGTTTTAATAGTACAAAACTTCAAGAATGTAAGCACTAGTAAAGTAGAAAAAGATTGAATTTCAACTTTTTCTAATTAAAAATTTCTTTAATATCTTGTGGGATATTTATTATTTTAAAAAGGACCCTCTATAGATCCCATAAGACTACGTGTAAATTCATCACCTGTGAAGTGTCACTCTCTTAGGGTCTAGACCTGTATTTCTGTCATCCGTGTTTTAAAGCGATACAAAATAAAATGAGAATCACAAAGAAAACTCAAAAGTTTCACAAAAAAAAAATAAAAAAAACATTTAAATCGGAGCACTATAACATTAAGAATTGTTTTTATAAAGTTCTCTGAAAAGTTCTCTGTTCTTTCTACTTCGGAAAATACCGTCAACTTGGTATAGTTGTATATGGCATTAGTCCAAGCATAAATATTTTTGTTATATGAAAGTACCCATAACAAATTTTCACCTGGAGATGAAAAATTTTCAGCTCACTGTATATAGTACATAGTCGCAAAGCTTTGGGCAATCTCAAATGTCATATGGGTTCCAGGGAAAAAATCATGAAATTCTCCGGAAACTAAAAATTTAATAAAGTGGTATCCTATCTAAAAGGTGTTAAAGAGCTCTACAAAATTTAATCGGGGTTTTGCAAAAGGTTCTAAGATCTTAAATTCAAAAGGTTCTAAGTTTTTAAAATTAAAAAAAAAAATTATGTATGTGGGTAGGTACCTATATAAGTATGTACGTTTTCCTTTCAATGCCACGGGATGCCCGGATGCATTTAACAAATTACTTAGCAGATTTTTTATACCGACCTATTTACATATTATTTACCTACTACTCCATATAAAAAATAAACACATTTTATGTAAAATAAATACATTTTAACAATTTTAAGTCTGCCCAATATAAAATTCTATAAATTTTTCACTTGTACATATTATGCTGTCACGTTTCTGTCTTAAGCAAATTTCATTATAATGTATTATAATGAAACATCTTCCTTGGACAAAACTGCAAGAAGCAATCTCTTACATATGTAAATTAAAAAACAGATAATTTCAAATGATTGTACTGTACTTAATAATTTTAGCTGCACGTGGGTGTAGAGGCTATTCGAGCCCCCGAGTTGCTTTTTCAACCAAGCATGATTGGAAGTGGAGAAGCAGGTTTGGCAGAAGTGATGGACTATATATTCAAACTTTTCAACGCAGATGACCAGCAATTACTAGCAGACAACGTTTTCTTGACAGGAGGTTGTTCTCAATTTCCTGGTTAGTTTTGTTTTTACCACATAAATTTGTATATATTTTTAGCATTAACATAGTTATGTACATGCAGGTCTTAAAGAACGTTTATCAAAGGAATTAAGAGCGATGCGACCTTTCAAAACCTCACATTTAGTTTGTCTTGCGCAGTCACCTATACTAGATGCATGGCATGGATCCGCGAGTTTTTCGCGCTCTGACAACTTCAACAGCTATTCAATTTCGAGGAGCGAATACACTGAAAAAGGTGGTGAATATATAAAAGAACATAAATGTAGCAATTACTATTTTCCTACACCCGCTGCTGTTATAATTGAAAACCAAACTCAAGAAAGCTAAAATAAATATTTAAATGTGGAAAACAATATAAATAAAACTATTTTATTTTATTTCTCACGCAATCAATTGCTCATTAAAATTTTTATTTAGCTTTACTATTAAGAATAATGCCATCATATTTTTGTTGAAACCATTTCATAGCATCTTCCTTTGTAAGTCGATGTTGAGCTCCAACTACTCCGGTTTTTCTTCTTCTGTGAGCAACATTAAACCCTAAAAGATTTTTTGTTTAAATTATAAATGAAACTATGTACTGGAATGCCATTTTCACAATTTAATTATAAAAAATTAAAAACTAATATTTAATTCGCTTATCAGATTTAAATAGCGCTCGCAAATGAAATAATATAAATTACTTTTTTTGTCACTGTTGTTATATATAGTTAGCGAAATTTGATAAACGCAAAATTCGTCAAGCATATATCTTTCACTTTATGCACATTGACTGAGCACTTTTGAAAAATTATACTCAATTATGCCTAATTATGTGCGTATATTTTCGAAAGCATAGTGTGAACATTGTAATTTATTTTATACTTAAAGCATTAAACCGCCTAACATCGAATCCCAAAATTTATGTAGTTATGTATGTACTTTAAATTAAATTAAAAATTTGCATATTCTATATCTACATATGAATATGAAATTCAAAATATTTCGTGCCCTCAGTAACTTAAAGAATTGAAAATGTAGTCTTTGCAAAAATACAATTCTATGAAAATAATAAGAGAAAAAATGAATATTTGAACTGCAAAAGCTTTTAGATTGGTTTTTGTTTTTTGCTTTGTTTATGTAAAATTATGGGAAATCTGTGTTTAAGTGGGAATGTGCAAATGTTTAAATTGGAAAAACTGATATTACAAACCTGGGCGACCTAAAACTACATAGAAATCCAGACCATAAATTCCGATAGATGGGTCGTATTTGATTCCTAAATCTATATGTTCTTGTATACCAAAACCAAAGTTACCCGTCGCAGAAAAGTTATCTCTTCTTAATTCATATTCGCGTACTTTCAAACCTCTTTCCAAAATTTCTTCAGCCTTTGCTCCTCGAACTGTGCAATGTACGGCAATCTTTTCATTTCTTCTAATTCCAAATGAACGGACAGTATACCTTGCTTTTGAAAATACTGGTTGCTGGCCAGTCAACTGCTCTAAAACCTATGCATAACATTAGAATTTCCAATGAAACTTTAAATAATTTACCTTAGCTGCACGCGTTAACCTGTCACCGGATTCTCCGACGCATATATTTAAACATAACTTCCTTATATGAAGATCCCTCATAGGATTTTTGGTCGGATCCCTCTTGAGTTTTTTTTGACTCTCAACCTTTTTAGCATTTGCAACTGGCTGAATAATAAATTAAATAAAATTATTGTATTACGACCTTATTCAATTACCAATAAAAGTGCAAAAACTAATCGACAATTTACTTATGAATATAACTTTTTCCTAAGACGATTTTAATACTTACCGCCATAGTATTAATTAAAAAGGAAAAGGAAATCAGTTACATCAAACTGTCATCAATATTAATTATTATAAGCGTTACCGTTTCGAGGTAAGACTTTTACCAGTGTTGCCAAATGTGTAATTTTCATGTTATTTTAGGTATATTCAAACTCTTGTATCATGAGAAATTTTGACATGCCCAAGGTACACATATTTACAATTCTTTTAAATTGTTTATTTATGACACCATGCATCAGCCCTATGCAGCTACTAAGGATTAATGTTACCTTTTTGCCTCAATACTATATTTGGTTACATGCAACATTTTTCAAAATTAAACCATGACAGCCCAAGGTTAGTTCCAGAACAATGCACATAATAGAATGTGTTCGCCACAAGATAAGAACTTCATATAAGTCAATTCAACGTCAAAATTATTTTATTTTCTCATTGTATGGATCGCTGTGGAGGTTTTAAATATTTTTGTCTACGTTAAATAATGACATACATATCTATAAGCTGAAGTTATTGCGAACTAAGCAAGTTACAAAAGCAATTCTTAATGTTTTCTCAAAATATTCTGATTGAAACATTTTTTTGTTAAATTTTTTAGTATTCTTTGTGACTTTATTTTATTTTGTATGTTTTTAAAAGCGTTCTAATTATAATAATTATTTTTTTGCTTTTTTTCTTTCAAATATTTTTTCTTTTCAACAATTTTTTTCAAATTAATATGTTAAATTTCAAAAAATATGAAGAATTATTGGAACTAAGAATTTCGACCAATTTCCTTCACACAAATAAATTCCAACACTTATCTTCACAAATACATCCGACACTATTTCTTTAATTTATATATTTTAAATAATGCGTTTAAAATCTTGAAATACAAACGGTTTTTTCGTTATATCTCCTGTACTATAACAGATTTTTTAACGTTTAATAACTTAAATTAAAGCTTGAGAGACTGGGCAAAATTTCATAAGAAAAATTCCTATTTTAACGGGTTGAAAGAACATTAAAAAAAATAAAAAAAGGTAAAGTTATTTTTTTTTTTAAATTCAGATGCTAAGTATTTCGAAAGTACACAAAATATAAAAGCAAGTAATATGTTACTTTCACTCTTTTCAATACCTTTCAAGAACTGTTTATATGTAGCTTTTACCTTTTTAGGAATTGATGTTATAAGCAAAAAAAAATTGGACAATAAAAAATTTTATTCATTTTTGATGTCCTAAACCAGTGATGAGATTTTTTTACTTATTGTTTAAAAAAAAGATTTCCCAAAGATAATATTTTTTTTGGTTAAACGTTGTCTTTTCGCAGTATGCTCAATGCGTACTCAGATCTTTTGTACACCGTTTTGTTTTAACACAGTCTAAAAAATTTAATTCAATTCACAAGTTAATTCTTATAATACATATCTATTTCTTATAAGAATTAACTTGTGTTTAGGTGTCGCAGTTTCTAATGCACCCGCACATATTTCTAAAATTGTCGACAAGAAGCAGTGTCAAATTTCTCATTAAAACTTTTAATACTTATTAATACTCAATCACTTATTTTTATATTAATATGTTTAAGTTTAAGAAAATAATTATAATATCTAGGACACGTTCAATAAACTTTTAAAAATAACTACAAATTGCCTTGAAATTACTTATTACTGAAATTAAACGTACTTATTACTAAAACTAGAATATAAATCTGCTGTAACTGCGGCCCGGGAAATGATTGCTTTTCTCATTTAGCCCAATTTAAATAAAGGTTGCTCATCACTGCCCTAAACGATTGTATATGTTACGTTACCGATTTTCTTAGAATTGATTGATATTATTTTCTTAAAGAAATTACTCATTTTACTTTTAATATGTTTGTGAGAAAATACTTCAAAAAGAAGAATATTTTTGAAATGTAGAATTCCAGCCATACATGTGTTTCAGAACTTGATTGAAGCTTTTCGGAAATTAATTCACTTCCAGAATCAGATAGTTTTCATGTTTGTTTAAAATAAAACTTGTGTAAACATTTCCTCTTGCTTTATTATAAACAACACATCTATTCGGAAATAACATCAATTATTTGATGAAATAAGTTCGTCAAATATCAATTTGATGACTAATTTCGATTATGATACTTATGAAATACTTAAGTGGAGTAGGTAATTTGAGAAAAAATTTTACAGTAAACGACCAGATGGAAAAAAACTGTTTTTAAAGCATAATAAAATATCATGTTTTTTGCTATGTCAAAAATTCTTTTTGACATAAAGAAAATATCTTGTTTTTATCATTTGATGAGCCTAGTTCATCTTTCCATCTTTGTAAAAATTGGCGCAGCAGTAAAATAGTTCAAGCTCGCTTTCAATTATATAAAAGCTTCAAGAGTATTTGAAGCTTAGTTCATGTCCATATGAACGTTACTTGACTTATAGCCGGCTTCGCTCAAGTCAATCAAAAACTTTTGCTTACTTGAGTTGAAATGTAATAGCTTAACGTCACTTCCACGTTTGCTAGCTGATATAGTAAAAACGCAATTACTTAACTTGAAATGCAACAGTCAAACGTCATTTTCAGGCTTTCGTGAAAAGAAGCATTTTGCTTTTATAAATATAATTTATGACAGGAAGGGCTATACGTAGGAAGAATATGATTTTGCTACATTATTTTTGTTATAATATAGATACCACTAGATGAGCCCTATGCCCCTTGTTAATACCTAATTCAGCAATAATAATTTTATTATCATTATTTTTTAGATCGATTTCGACAGTTCGTTGTAACTTTACTTTTTTTTTAATTTTGAATACTGTTTAACTCATTTCAATAAATTTATATGTAAAATTGTATGTATATTCATGTATGTAAATTTATAATTTCGAATTTCTTATTTTCTCTTACATATTTTCTTACTCTATTATAAGCACTCTTAAACTTAATTTTACTATTTTTTGAATTAACACTAGCAATCTGAACACTAGAATTCTGAAAATTCTATTCGCAAAAACACTGTCGAATCGTTCACACATAACATTGTTGATATTATTCAAAAAATTTAAAAATATCAATAGTCCTTGAGTTGTAATTAATTTTTTGTCATTTATTTCTATATAATTAAATTTTGCAAAAATTCGTATAGGTTTTAGAACCCCCCTGGCTAAATTAAGCCAGAGTCAAAACACCCCTACTACGAGAAAATTACCAGCACTACCAAAAATTTATGTTATATCTTCAAAATGAAGATTTTTACTTACGACGTGAGCTTAATGAAGTATCACATTCCAAAAGCTCTTGACATATTACACTTTTCCTCAAGGCGTTATATACGTAGTGAATACGTAAAACAAAGGTAAATTGGATATCGAAAAAATCGAGTGCGCTTTGTCTAAACATGTCATATAAATATTGCCAGAAATAACCATTTAAGTAAACTTTACTAGCATATATTTTTAGCCATAAAGTTATTTATGTTTTTTTCCTAAAATGCAGCGTAAACATGCTATGTTTTTAATGATGTGGCAACGTTTGTTGAAAATTAACATTTGCACAGAACTTTAAATTGAAATTTTCAAACAAATGTCAAAGTTCAAACAAACGTCAAAGTCAAACGTATTAATATTGTAAAAATTGTATTCCAAAATGTATCGAAAGCATAGTATTAACAAAGATTCCTGAAAATCTTGTTATTTTTAATATCGATTAATAGACCAAATCTGTTCAAAAATTCCGCTCCCAATATTGAACGATATCAGCCAGTATAAATGGATGAATGAAATTACTTCTTAAACCAACATTTAAAAAGGAGTTTAAGCATCTCTGTGTTAAAATTTTTGAGCATTAGCAACAGTTAAACCGGATTCTGAATTTAAATTCTAAAATTGATTTTACAGGGAAGTACTGACAACTCTCCCAGATCAAAAAGAAATAATAAGTTTTTAAAGATGTTTTTAATAAAAGACTGTTAATTTATGTACCAGTACCGACCGCCGCAAAAATCTGCCAACATTCTCCACGTAAAGCAGTTGTCATCCGAGCATTAGAAGAAAAACGACCCCAACAGTCACGAGCCTTACCGAACCTTGGTCTAAAAATTTTTCGACAATCGCTTCATCAATCATATGATCCCTTCGACAATCATAAGGTAAAAAGAAACTGTGACTTAATAAATAATAATGACTGTGTATTAATGAATAACCATACACACTGGGTTAACATGTGCAATAAATTATAGCAAATTTGATAAAAACATATTTTTGCATTCAACATAATGCAGGAAGGATTTTCAATTTGATTCCTTATAAAAGGATAATTTTTATATAATTAATATATACATGCAGAAAGAATCACATTTAGTTGAGTATACCAACATGTCAATGTATTCAAAACTTGAAGTTTCGTACAGTTTATTGGGTGATACAATTTGGTATCACATTTTCTATCCCTGAATGTAAACACAAACCAATTTCATACAAATGATTCATGTCTATGAAAAAAGTTTAGAAAAAATTTTTTCAATGGTTGATAATTTTTCCGAAATATAATTCTTTATTTTTTATTGGTATTCCGTTTATTCTTCTTTTTATTCGGAATAAAATACTTTTATATTTTGCTAATATATTTCGTGCGCTACATACGGACTTTGTCAAAGCTGATTTTCTTTCTGAGAAGTAAAGTAAATAAAAAAAAGTGTTTTATTTAGAATAAAAGGAAGTTTTCTTTTCATACCAATAAAAAAATAAAAAAAGTTTTGAAACTTTTACGATAAATAGCACTATCGCCAAGTGATTCGATATTCGGAATAAGCCCCATTATTACTCATATAAATTAGCCCTAGTTTCATTTCGATAACGAAATTTGAAAAACTGGTTACATCGACGATTTAAAGTTAAAACTAATTACATTCACTTTTCTCAGAAATCGAGTTAAATGCATCTGACTGCTATTTTTTGTTTACCATTTAGAACACTTGTTCTTTCACAGAGCTCCTGAAAGTTTTTACAGAAAAGAAAATACTAAAATTAATTTTTACTTTAGTCGGAAGTGAACCCATTAAACTCACTTAATGATTGTTTTGCTCTGTTTGATACTTTTTTCTAATTAGTGAATTAAAAAGAAATATTAATGATAAATTCGTATCACATT